AGGGAAGAGATGAGGAGGGTGCTCAGCATGAGGCCAGTTGTGTGACCCTCAGGAGGAGAGGCAGGATTCCTGGTGATTTCTTGCCAGAAACTTGCCTCTAGCCTAGATGGTTCGCAGCTAGGTATCAATGGCTGCTCAGCAACAAGAGTACTTTCTGCCAAAGCCGATCAGCCTCCTTTTCCAACAGGCGAGTTTTGGAACTCAAACGGTGTGGAGCTAATGAAGAAACAGGGAGAGGATGTCTGGGTAAAGCTGATGAAGTTTACTTATAAGGATGTAGGGCCCTTGGTCACTGACACCATCTCCAGCATCCCCATGAAGAAAGTTCAATTCTTGGCCCCCTTCTGCCTTTCCAGGAAGAAAGGGTCCCCAGTCACATGCTGGCAGGATTGCTTCTATAAGATTTGCAAAATTCCTAGAGGGTGGGATCTTCCCCCTATTTTCTTTACCCACTTTTTTTTTTTTTTCCAGAAGTAGGACTGGTGCCTCCACACCTCTGTTACACATATTGGTTCTGACAGCTCAAATTAATATGTCACAAGCTGTGATCCTCTCTGGCGACAGGCCTTTTGACCCTATCAGCGCAATCTGCCTCCCTGATTGAAAATCTCTGCGCCTCAAATTGATTCAGAGTTTTATAAACATCCTGCAGCCATGATCCAAGGAAGCCACCGATGAAAAACCTGGGAGAGATTAATTTGTCCTCCTTTGCCCAACTCTTCCAACCAGCAGGACAGCAGAGCAGGACAAGCAAAGGAGTTTAAAGGAGAGTCCAGGAGCCCCCGACCCCCTAAATTGAGCAGCGCCCTCCTCTTGCCCTACCAGCATCCTCAAATGCTCTTGGAATGGTCTGTGAGAGGGAATTTGATTAGGCATCAGAAAATTTGGGGGTCGACTGTTTCAGCCACTCACTAGCTGTGTGACCTTGCAAACGCTCCTTAACCTCTCTGAGTTTTAGCTTTCTCTTTATAAAATGAAGATATTAATAACCACTCTGCTTAACTCAACAGGCTTGCTATAAAGATGGCGTGAGATGATGCATTCTGAAGCATTGATGAAATCGTGACTGGTTTTTATAATATACTGAGGAGATAGATGAAACAAAATTAGCAAAATGTTGCTAATTTGCAGACTCTGGGAGATGAGAACATGGGATTCACTATGCTCTTGTAATTTTGCATAAGTTTGAAAATCACCAAGCTACATTCTTTAAACAATATACATTAGAGCCATAAAGTTCATGTCTTAGAAGTATGCATGTGTAGCGTAAGAGTGACTGTGCATGTGTTGCGCATCGTACTGATATGTTTGAGTGTGTGACTGGATACACTGTGTATGAGTGAGCGTGTGAGTTTCTGTGAGTTTCTGTGTGAGTGTGGAGAATATATTGTGTGTGAGAGACTATGGGTGAGTGTGTGAGTGTGCATTTATGAGAGAGTGGTTGGGTGTGGAGTGTGTGTGCATGTATATGTTTGTACAAAGTCCTTTCCCACCCACATAGGCATCTCTAGAACTGCCCATTAGAACAGAGTCGGCTGGATTTGGGTTAGAATGGAAAGATGTTATGACACACTGCTGGTTTAAAAATTAGATTATAAAACAGACAGGGGCATCCCTGGTGGAGCAAGGGGTTAAGCACCGCACTATGAGGCGGTCTGCGGCCTCTGCAGCACGAGTTTGATCCCCAGCTGGCCAGGGAGAAACCACATGGCGCAGCAGACCTCTCCTGTCTTGCCCGCTGCTCCCCTCAGCAGTGTGTTTTCAGTCAGTCTGCCTTGTCTGTTCTCCACTCTGTCTCTGGTGAGTCCTCTCACCCCCCACATCTCTGGACTGTGCCCCAGCTCTTGTATGCATGAATGGATAAATCTTTAAAAATAAATAAAAAAGATAGGGAGGAACAGTTCCCTGAAAGGGGTCCACAGTGGTACTGGACAGAGCTCTGCACCAGGATGCCCCATCTGTGAAGATTTTTACACACAGAATGTCCCTGCCTTCTTGTATGTGTTCCAAGCACCCTCCCTGGGCCTCCAGCGCTGCCCTTCACATGGAGATGCTCTGTTCACTTACCTGCTGTCTCCTGTGTCAGTACCTTGAAACTGCCATGCAGGTCCTGGCCTTCATGCAGCAGTGGCCTCTGAACAAAGCACACTATTGATCACATCAGCAAACCCACTCCTCACAACCACTCAAGCACTATACTGGCTTCAAGATTCTCAGGCCTCCTGACAGCTTCTAAAATCTTCTGTCCTGCTGCTGCTGCTTCCCTGCAGCACAGCCTTTCAGGCCCTTACCCACAGACTGTTAACCCAATACAGGAAACCGCCCTCTGCACTAAGGGAATCTCTGAGTATGTGGGAACTGAGGGGCCCTGTTCGTGCCAGGCATGCCCAGATAAGTCTGCCAGGCACACAGACTTTGAGCAGCCCTGCCTGGCCACCGTCAGCAGGCGTCTTGTCAGCATCCTGAAAGTGGGTTCCAACAGCAGCAGGAAAGGTCAGGCAGACCTTTCCTGCCTGACAAGGGCTGCTCCATCATCATCACCAGTTGATACTGTACTTGGAGAGAAAGGAAGGGGCCAGGAGAGGAAGGATGAAGAGGAAGAGGAGACTGTAACTCCTGCATGAACCAAGGGACGCCAACCAAAATTATACTCTTAGTAGGATCCAACTTTCGACCCTCAAGTCCTTCCTAAACCACAGAGGAAGTGCTCACCGGTTACAATTCTTATTGGGGAGGCTGATGGTTAAAAATGTCCTGTCAGATGGCTCCCTCCCCAGGCACCTCCCTGGAGCCCTGGAGCACCTCCTCTTGGTTCCTTACCATTCCACTTCCAAAGTCGTCACAAAAACAAACGCTTTCTGTCCAGTTGTCTTGAATGTAGGTGAAACTCCTCACTCTCTGTGAGTTGTCTCCAAACAATGACAAACAGACACAACATTCACAACTTCAAACTCCACCTGTCTCCAGCTCTCTTGCTCTGCAGTCCTATCTGCCTGGTGGCAAGTGTGCTCAGCCAAGGGGCACACATGGCCTTGGGCTTAGATGTTGGGTGCCCACTCCCAGCTCTGTGACCTGGGACAAGTTATTTAATCTCTCAGTCTCTTAAACTATAAAACAGAATGACTGTATTTATCTCTTAGTGTTGTTCAGATGATAAACTGGGTTAATATTTATCAAGAGCTAAGCACAGTGTCTGACATGTAGTAAATGCTCTGTGAGCTGGCTGGCCTCAGCACACCTCGCCCTCATCACCACCATTGTCACTACTACTGTTTTTCATGAACCCTTGTTCTTGGCCTCCTAGAAAATGGTGTTTTCTTCATTCATTCCAAATCTAACTTACTCACCTCTTCATTTACTGAGAAGTCTACTGTCAAAGTCCAAATTATTTCTTAAAACTAAAATAAGGTTTTTCTTTCTCAAACTCTCTTCCCTACTACAGGCCAGAATCCCATTTCTTCATGATACTCTTGGACTCTCAATCATTGGAGAGTCTCCTTCAAAGCAACAAAATACCCTTTGTTCATCTGTGAGCTTGTATTAATAATCACTACCAGTTTACAAAGTTCTTGGATTTACGCTATACAGTAATCCCTGTTAGAGGCCCTCATGGTAAGTGGTTCACCCAGGACCCTTTGGTTCCCCTTTATAGTTCATAAATAGCACAGTTGCCTCTAGACACCTGACTTGTGCTCTCTTGTACCCAGTGTGCTCTCCAAACCTCACAGGCCTCCAGCAAGACAAGGAGACTGCATGCCTGAGAATAAACACTGGGCAAAGAGAAATCACTTCCCAGGGGTCCTTCCCTTCTTGGGGCTTTGGGATCTCTAGAACCACCCATTGGAGCAGAGTTCTTATGAAAAAGTGGTGATGGAGATGAATTTGGGTGAATGTAGGAAGATGTTTGTGACACATTGTTGGTTAAAAAAACTAGGTGATAAAACATTCTGTACAACAGGATGTCATTTTGTGACAATACACACATACATGCCAAAGAAAAGAGACTGGAAGGATATCACATTCAGTATTGCCAGTGATAGAAATAACAGATTTTTAAACTCGTTTGTTTTACCTGTATTGTCTAATTTTTCCACAAAATGGCTTGTTACATGGTAACTTAGAAAAAAGTAAGACCTGGGGGAAAAAGTCTCAGGTGCATAAAAGCTTTGTTGGCCAGCCGATGCTACTATTTTGGAGCTTTCTCCTTACTAAGGAAAAATGGACACCGAGAGAAGCTTAGCTTCTACATGGGACTCCTACAGGAAACCTAAACCCCACATGGTGACAACAGCGGGCCCATTTTCAGGGAAGCTTTGGTTCCAGGAATGTACCCCAGTATCCCCTGTGGGAAAGCAAGCACATCCCCATCACCATTACTAACACAGGCAAAGCACTTAAATTCCTCCTCATGTATTCCACATCACAACCTGTCAGGTAAGGGGGCACTTGTTATTCTCCCCATGCCACAGAGAAGGAAACTGAGACCCAGAAAAGTGAAAGAATTTGCACAAGAACCCACAGCAGGAGATGTGGGGTATCTAGAGCTAGGTCAACTCTCAGTGAGCCTCATGCTAGTTCTATTAACACATTCCAGGGTCCAGGCTATTGTGGCAGGGATTTGAGAAGCCACCCTAACCCTCCTAATTACCCAGCCATCTCCCTGGGGCCTGCTTGGGAACTTTCCATCCCCTACCTGGCCTCAGAACTTCCTGACCAGAACATCTCCTGAACCAGTAACTACAGAAGACAAATATATTAGTTTGCTAATGTTGCCATAACAATATGCCACAGACTGAGTGGCTTGTACCATAGAACAGTTCTGGAAGCAAGAAATTCAACAGCAAGTGTGGACTGAGTTGTCTTCTAGAAGGCCTCTCTTCTTGGTTTGCAGTTGGCCATCTTCCCCTGTGTCTTCCCTCTGAGTGGTTCAGTGTTCTAATTTCCTCTTCTTATGAGGTCACAATTCATATTGGATTAAGACCCACCCCAGTGACCTCATTTGAATCTTCTCTTTAAGGACGCTGTCTCCAAATACAGTGACTTTCTGAGGTACCAAGGGATAAGACTTCAACCTCTGAATGTGGGCTGGGAGCCTCCTGGGATCAAATCCAGTGCTCGTTCCAGGTACATTCAGGGATATTCCTGAGAACATAATGACAAGATGCATTTGTCCTCCAAGAATTTTTCCTGTATCATCTGATTTGAGCCCCACTACAGTCCAGTGAGATACTCAAGGTGATAATCAGTCCCATTTCACAGGTCACACACTTGTAAGGAGCAGAGCTGGAAGAGCCCACAGCTACTGGAGCCCAAAATTCTCTCCACTTTATGCTCAGGGATGTGACTGGGCTCTCATGTGTGTTATTCTGGCTTTAGAAGATAAAATTAATGAGCAGGCCAAAAGCCCTGAATAAGCATGTCCCATTTTGAAAAACACCATGGAACCATCCAGGGTCCTGCCCCACCCTCTGCCCTGAGAAGATGAGATTGAAAATTCAGTGGAGTGGGCCTCCCCGGTGGCGCAGCAATTGAGCGCTGGGTTGCGAAGCTGCCCGCGGCCTCTGCGGCGCCAGTTCAATCCCCGGCTGCTCCCCGGCCACCAGAGGAGGGTCCCACATGGCACGCAGACCTCTCCTGCTGCCCGCTGCTCCCCTCAGCAGTGTACTTCGGTCCTTCTGCCTGCTCTGCTCCCTGCTCTGGCTCTGGTGAATTCTCTCACCCTCCCATGCTTCTGACTGTACCCAGTGCATGTATAAACAAAAAACAAACAAACAAACAAACAAATAAAATAAAAACATGCCTCTATAAAAAAAAGAAAATAAAATAAAAAAAAATAAAATTCAGTGGAGTAAATGTCACTCTAACCCAGGTTCCAACACTGCCACGTACTAACCGGTGACGTGGGACAAATCTGTGACCTTTTCTGAGCTTCAATTTCACTGGGAATTGTGAGAATGGTGGTGTGATTTGTGGTGAAAGTCTATATTGTCAAACTGATTGGTTTTGAACAGCAGCTACCACTTCTTAGATGTCTGAACTTGGGCAAATCATTTAACTTACCGGGCCTTCAACTTTTTGTTACATAATTATAACCACAATAATTTGTATTTACACCTATCTGTGGCTGGTGCTTTGCACAGATAATCCTCACCACAACTCAATGCAGGTATGCTTTCCCAATTTTACAGATGAGGATCTTGCCTGAGAGGTGGAGGAGGTAAAGAGACTTGCCCAAGGTCACACAGCCAGGAAGCAGCAGAATGGAGAGTTCAAATCAAGATCAATATAACTCCCAGATATCTGCCCTTTGCCTTCATTTACACTGCAAGGCCAGTCCATGGATTGCACTCAAATACTGACTCATCAGGCACAGAGAAGGCCTTCACTGAGTGATAGCACAACTATTAGTGCTCTGATGGGTGTGACTGTGCTATTAACCTATAAGCCACTTGTCTAGGTAATACCTGGAGTGATTATTCATGACACCTCAGATCAGGCAGATAGGTTGACTAGATGGTATCCTTGACTAGATTGTATCCCGTTGGGGACAAGAACTGTATCCTATGCCTCTCTGTTCCTCCACCATAGCTAGCACCTGCACCTGTTCTTGTCAACTGTATCCTATAGCCATTCACATCATATCCTCCACCCTACTGAAGTCCTTGACTTCAAGCCCCATCCCTCATACCAAAATGCCATCATCATCCAGGGTGAGTGTGGCCTCTTTGACCACTGGCGTAAGATGCGCAAGACTTAGTGAGGCATGCTGCAGATGCCAGATATGGCAACTTCTGGTCTTCTCCCTCTCCCAGATTTCAAGGCCCTTTTCCTCTATGAAATCCCTTAAGATGCCAATGGCCCAAACTCTACACTAATTATTGTCGTTCAGGGCTTATTCTTATATTTTGGAGTTGGGAAGATATAAATAAATATTTACAATGGAATAAATATTATTTTTAAAAAGTCTAATTATATGTTACATGTTCTGAGAAGTGGTGATAATAGTGGTCCATACCACATAAACCACTGTTGTAAGAATTCAGTGAACTAACAGGCTGAGCACATAGTAAGTCTACATAAGTGTTAAGTACTTCTATCATCATCTTTGTCTTCATCATCATATGCTGATACTCCAGTAACTAGAAAGAGGAGCTGCCTCTGGGGGGAGGGGCAGGGAAGGCTGTAATTTTTCTTTCCTATGTATATTTCTTTATACCTTTTAGCTTTTAATCCACTTAGGTGGGTTACATCTGAAAAAAAAACAAATTTAGAAATGTTTTTAATTACAAAAGAACGGTGTGCCCAGCATGCATTGAGCCTGAGCTGTGACAGTCATTTGTCTCCTGCTTATCTATCAGTGGGTCCTGCTCCTCCATCTTCATCACCATCTTTGTGATGTTGGCTGCTGAGCTATTGACCTGCATGGTGTAAAAAAACACCAATCATGTAACACTGGAACTAGGGAATACCATTGTTTCCCTGTTAGGGGGTGAAGAAACCAAGGTGCCCCAAAGACAAGGAACTGACCCAGAATCCTGCAGATGGCAGGCAGCAGAACAAGGATCCTGTCGGGGTGAGATGACTCTCTGGGCCCACTGTTGTTATTGCCCCGACCCTTCCTGGTCCCATCCCACGCCCATCCAGCCAGTGTGGGTACATCCTGTCCTCTCAAAATAGACCGAGAGAAAAGAATCCATGTCATCTCTTTATATTCACAAAGCCTTGCTCTCACTATCCCTCTAAAAAATAGTAATAGCTTTCCCAGCCCCAGACCAGAATAGACACTGGTTAAATATTTGCTGAATTGAATTAAACTTTTTAAAAATGTAGTGTCTTTCCAGGCCACAGTCTTCATCATCATTATCATCATCATTGAGTAGTATCTCATGAGGCCACTGCACTGTGCAAGGAATGAGTCTGGAGAAGAGCCACAGGTAAATAAGTTCTGGCAGATCTAGAAAGAGCCTCTGGATAACAATTCAGGGAGGGAGGAGGGGTAAGAATTAACTGAGCACCTGTGGAAATTTTCACTGAATTGCTTTGTGTCCCTTCCTATCCCATGGACACCCACATACATGCATGTGAAGTGGCCTCTGTGCAGAAAAGGTGTTTCAGCCATAAATCTCACGTGATGGGGCAAGAGGTTTTATTGAACAATTACGGAGCGGCAATTGCATGGCAATTATCAACTCAAGGAGGAAAGGGCCTCCACTTTACCTCTCCTTTATCTCCAGGCTCCAACCGAGATACCCATCAGAGCCAGGCAGCCAGCTGCTGTTCAGGTTTAACATCTCCAAGGCCTTGCTCCCTGGGGTTGGTCCAGGGCATGGCTAGGGCACTCACTCAGGACTGGGATGAAGCACCCCTCTCAGATGGGAAGAGTGTACTGTCACTCTAGATGTTCCCCCAGAGCAGGGGTTATCCTTTTCTGCCTTGATCATTAGAAGAAGGGGCCACCCTGCTCTGTAAACCAGGAAACTTCCAGTCCTTCCAGCAGCAGGGAGTGAGGGGCATTCTGTCCCTGGAGCTTCCTCAGAGAAGTGGGGTTGTCCTCTAAGTGTCCCAGGTAACAAAATAAGCATTATCCTCACAGGAACTAACCTGTACATATCACTGTAAAATTTACGAAATATCTGCTAGCCATTAGCTCATTAGCTCTCATTTCACAACAACCCAAAGAGGTCAGTAGGACAAGAGTGATGCTCCTATTTTTCAAATGAGTCACAGTGACATGAAATGAATTGTCCCAGATCACACAATTAATCAATGACATAAATCACACCATCTGAAACCAAAATTGACAATAAAGATGGGAACCCATAAGTCTTCTCCCTCTGCATTCAGAGGGTAGAAAAGAGGCCTTGCTCCAACAAAGCCCAGAGGGGAGTTGAGCCAGTCCGTCCTCAGGAGACCACATGCAGCCAGCAAAGCCAAAGCTCCCACCTAAGTGCACTTGGGGGAGGGGAAGAGCAAAAGCCCACCTTGGTCCTTCCTTCTCCACTCTCTCTGTGCTCCAGGACCCATGGGGCAGTGGGACGGCTTCAGCAAACTCTCAAAGAGCCACACAGAACTAAGTGAAGATGAATCCCTCCCACCACACCAGCTCAGGGTGTTCTTGCCCAATGGGGAGGCTCTGTGTCTCAACTTTCCTGCTCCCGATGGAGATAACATCTCTTCTCTGGTTTCAGTACCACCTCTCCCCTAGGCTGAGGCCCTCCATGCCTACTCTGCCTCTGTCCTGGGTTTAGTTCAGTAGGACATTTGCTGTGGCTGCCTTGTCTCGTTGTAATTTATACACCTAAAATCAGAGTTTTTCTATTTATTATCCTTTGGATACTACTCTCTCTCTCTCTCTCTCTCTCTCTCTCTCTCTCTCTCTCCCCCTTTCTCTCTGCTCCATGCCTCAAATCAACTCCAAATCTTCTCTGCCCCCTGTGCATTTCTAACCAGCAAAAGTCCATCGATAATGGTTTCAGTGTGCATCTCACCCTATTCTACTAAAGAACAGAAAGATCATTGGTGTTCCCTTCATGGGAAAAGGCAGGGAGCCCAGCACACTTGCCACAGGGAGAGCCTGTCCCTTACCAGTGGCCCTGACTCTAGACTCAAGCCCTTTTCCTTACCACCATGCACATTGCACAGTGCTTGGCACACAGCAGAGGCTCAGAAACTCCCCCTTGGAACTTACTCTTACTTGGACACTATCTGCCTTCTAGTGTCTTCCAACTATGGGAAAGAAAGTAGAAAACAAACACAAGGGGCAGGATATTTAGGGACCACCTTCACTCTGTCTGGTTACTTTCCATTTTTAAATCAGTCTGCTAGTTTTCCATTTTTAAACCTGTCTGATCCATCCATCTATCCAGCCTTACTCCTGACAGGCCCTGACAAACACACTCTGAACTATGAACACATAGATCTTGATCCAGAGCAGTATAATTCAGGAAGCAGTGCCCAGCCCTTGCTGCCCCATAGAGTAAGCAATTTACGTGATTTCAGGGGATAAGAATCATCAGTCCCTTCCTCAAAATTGCATTGCCTCTCTTTTCGCTAGTGTTAGTAACTTTAATCATAGGGAATAAAGCCCAGCACTATGGGGAGTGGGGGGAGGGAGTTAGGAAGGGACTGAGGCTACAAAAGCAATACATCTGAGAGAACTAAATATTGGCTTAAATTCTCACTAGAGTGTAAATGACTGCTAGCAGTCCTGTGAGCTAATTGATGAAGATACCATTAGGGAGGGATGACTTTTTAGAGAAAAAAGGAAGATCACTCAGAGTCAGGGTTGGAAAGGTGCTTCACCTTGTAGAGAAAGCTATGGGCTGGGAAGGATAAAAATTCTAGTCCCACCTCTGCCTATAGTTTACCTGGTGACTTCAGGAATATTGTTCAGCAACTTTTTGAGCCTCAATTTACAAATCTATAAATTGGGATAAATAAACAATCTGATCTCTAAGTTCCTTTCAAGATTTGGCAAACCTTAACTCAATTATTTCAGTTTTGCCTCCAGCCTATTTAGTTCTGTATTCTTAACTCAGCACTGTACAAATAACAAGTACGTATCATGAAAGTGCTAAAAAGTCCCATTGTTCAGGCCGTGAGTCAAATAATGCCTCCCAAGTTGATTTGGAAACCAAGGTCATTACAACCTTGAGGAATATAAGGGGAAGCATAAGGCTGAATCTCTTGTAAACCTTTGGTATAATAGGAGGTGAGGTTCACTTAGATATAAAAACCTGCAATAGTAACTATGAAATTACAGTAATCCCTAGATTTGTAGTGATTTGCCATGAACCATCCTCAGTCATATCCATCATGTAATTTGATCTTCCCCAAAACTGTGTGTAGTAGACAGGGCAAGAATTAGCAGACCCATTTTATAGATTTAGAAACTGAGTCTCAGTTTGAGGAATCACAAATGAGTTACAGCCAGGATTGAAACTCACATTAAGTGATTCTTCTCCTTCTGAACCCCCCATTATGTCCCTTTTTTACTTTTCACTTCTGGTTCCAGATCCAAAAGCAATCTAGTACCAGGCAGTAATGGAAGTTCAAGTACCCCGATTAGCTCTGCCTCCCCTTTGCAACCTTATTGCCATGGGATCTGGAGCTAGAAACCGCCCTACCACCTCCTGCTTTTCGCTGTTCCCTTCCTGCAGCTGCCATGGCTAGAAGAGCTCTTAGGCCCCAAGACCCAAACACTTAAGTGTCATCACCCCCTTCTCTCATTTCCCAGAGTTCTGCCTAGCCAAGGCCTGGTTTACACTGGGATAATTGTAAAGCAGGAGACTTTTGCTCAATACTAATCAAGCAAGTAGGACAGAGGTAAGAACAAACCCAACCAGGCAGGGAGCTGGGGGTGAGGTGGAGAGAGAGAGAGAAAGAAAAATAAAGAGAGGAAAAGAAAGAAGCTGCTTTAATAACAGGGTAATTGCCCTGTTTAGGATTACAATCTGCCAGCATTTCACTAAACTTTATGACACTTGATGACAAGTTAATAAGCCAGATACCTCACTGTGTGCCTTAAACTTCTCTAGGCAGGGAGGCAACCTCTCAGCCAAAAAAAAAAAAAAGCCAGGAAGGTATGGGGGAAGAGGGACCAAGAAGGTGGGGAAACTGGTTATTTCTGTTGTCAAAATGGCCCCAGCAATAAATCACCATTAATAATACTGTCATCTATCAAAGAGGAACTCCAGTTGCCAAGGCCTTTGAAGTGGCAGCACCTATAATTTCCCACCTATAAAAGGTACCTTTGTGCATATATCATGCTGAAAGTTGACAGGAGTGAGACACTGAGGAGTTCATAACTTCTCCACACCCAACCCAACATCCAGCCCATGAAGTTCCCCGTCACTCCCTCACCCAGCTAGGCCTAAGGGCCAGACCAGTCTCCACTCACTCTACCACAGGTTTGAGAGACAGACAGGCTGCCAGGCCTCAGCTGCCAGCAGAGCTGGGAGGCAGGGGTGGGGGAGGGCAGGCAGAGAGTTCGTGTCCAGGCAGATCTGGGCGCTTCCAACCCCACCAGCAAGTTAACCTCCTAAGTAACTAAGGGGTGACACCTGCCAGCTTTCCCTCAGCACTAACTCCCAGGAGTGAAGGCCCTGGTGAGCCTTGGAGGCCAAGGACATGCCCCTGAGGCATGACTCTGTCCACACAATCACCAGAGGAACCTCCCCAGGGAACCTTCCCAGATATAATGAAATAAGACTGTCCCTGGAAGGTGTGGCCATGGAATCTGCCTCTTTAACAGACTCCCAAGAAGAGATGTTCAAACACAAGAGACCAAGAAGCACTGGAGCCTGGGCCCTATCCTTTTGTCAGACCAGGAATCTGGGAGCCCTAGGAGGCAGCCCTGTGTGTCTCCAGCTCTCAGAAGGACCCCTGAGTAGACCTGGTTGCATGCTCAGTCAGCCCTGGCTTCAAGAACTAAGAATCAGAAAGTGACTCCAACCATTGAAATGTATTTTCTCACAATTCTAGAGGATCAAATGTCAAGAAGTTTATTTCTTCTGAGGCCTCTCTCCTCATTTGTAGATGGTCATCTTCTCCCTGTGTCTGCACATGGTCTTTCCCCCTGTGACTGTCTGTGTCCAAATTTCCTCTTTTATAAGGACACCAGCCATATCAGACTAGGGTCCACCCTAATTATCTCACTTTAATTTAATCATCTATTTCAAGACCTTATCTCCAAATATAGTCACATTCTGAGATACTGGGTGTTAGGACTTCAAATTATGAATTTGGGGTAACACAATTCAATCCATAATGGAGCCCTAAAGCTCAGCATAAAGATGAAACTCCCCAGATGACCTCCCTAAAGGTTGCCAATCCATTGGCAAGATCTGAAACTGAGATAAACTTTCTTCTGAATTCTCTGGACCCAGCATTCTCAGGCCTGGACCACTGCACCTTATGGGTGATTTGTCACTTGAATTTTAACAGAGCCAGCATGCCTACATCCCTCCAGGAGGAGGAGCCTCCTTTCTTTTTTTTTTTTTTTTTTTTTTTAGCCTCCCATGATGAGGTCCTTTTGAATGTGACTTAGACCAAGATCCCAAGGAGTCTCTAAAGTGGACTTTTACTGAACATGCCCTATGTCCCCTGCTACCATGTCATTGTCACAACTATGAATAAGTACAAAGGAGGAAACTGTGAGATAATTTGCCCAGGGTCAAGAGGTAGCTAGGACCCAGCCTGCCTTGGAATCCAAGTCTTGATGACTCCAAATCCCAAGTCTTCATCCCCTTTGCTTCTCCACCTCTTCTTACACAGGTAGCTGCTGAACAGTAACCCTCTGAACTGCCTATGAGAGCTGCTGAGCTTCTGGGAATTCAAGACTAGACATAGTTGACACAAAGCAACTTTTATCTGTGGGGCATTTTTCCGAAATCATAGCCATATATATTAATGTGTTTTCTATATTCACAGACATAGTCAATAGCAGTGCCTGTGTGTGTTTGCTCAGACTGAGTTCCTGGGAACCCCCCACTAGGACCCCAGTTCTCTCTCTGTTCCTGGCTCTCCCTTCTGCTATTATTCCCTTCCCTCTTCTCTGGACCTCATCCTCATGAATAAATGAGAGGATTAAACTAAGGGATTCTACAACCCCTTCCTTCACTAGCACCTCTGGATCTTTGGGAAGTCCCAAAGAGGAGAGAGGTGAGAGTTGACCTTAACCATCCTTTTAGCCCTTCCTGGAGAGTGACAAAATCAGCCTAAGGGCCTCCATGTGTTCTGAGGCAAACAGAGGAGCCAAAGGCCTCAGAAACCTCCTAGGCCCTGCTTATCAGCAGGATGAGCAAGTCTGTCCCAGCAGTGTATCCCCCAAGTGTACCCATTCCTCACTGTCTAGCTCTCCTCATAGCCTCTGGCCTCATTTTCTGCCCAGCCTAAAATTTCCTATGGGTGTCAGCTATACAGTCCCTGAGGCATCTACAAAAACCCACAGACACTGGCTCCCTACATGCTAGAAAAAGGTGAGGAGGGATTTTCTAAAGCTTAGGAGCCCCTTCTTGGTGACAGGTGATTTCCAAGGTCTTGACTAAGAGTTGGGAGGATGGTTTCCCATCTGGCCTTCCTCTTGAGCCCTGGTGGTATGACAGTGAGCAAGGCCTTCATCCTCTAGTCCTCACTCTCTTCTGTAAAATGAGAGGGTTGCGTTCAAGACCTCTGGAGGGTGTTTATGCCTGTCTCCCTCTCCCTAGCCATCTACCTATGAAAGCACCTGTAGAGCATTTCACAGCCACACAGATGCAGGCACAGTACCCCTCTCTCATGCCCATGCCCCACCCCACCCCACCCCCCAACACACAGGGGCCCCTCTTCCATCCCTTACCCACCTTCCCTTTCACAGGGGCTGCTTTCTCTCCCCTATCATAAGCAGTGTGTCTCAGCCCCGAGAAGCAGCTCCAAGGAATGGAATGGCCCCACAGTGGCTCCCAAGAGGACAGCTTCTTGGCAGGGATGGGAGTGGGTGGAGTACAGCAATTTTTTTCCTTTCAGGCCCAAAGGGCTGTCAACCCTCTTCAGCTGCCCTGGAGCCTGAAAGCCAGAGAGAGAGAGAGAGAGAGACTTACAACCAACCAGGACAGCTTTGACCCAGGCCTCTGATAGACTGATAGAGTGAACAGCTCAAATCTAAGCCCTTCAGGAGGAGGTTTATGAATGGGAATGCAGCCTCCCAAGAAAGAGAGCCTGAAGGGGGGCCAAGGACAGGTTGTGCCCTAAAGTCCATTCCTCTCAAGCAGATCCTCTGAGGTCAGAGCTTACCCTTTGGGGAGAGGGATATAGCCTGGCCAGATACTCAGAGGGGTGGAGCCCAGAGGGGTGGAGGCACTGGGTCTAGGCCTCTGAAATTCCCTGACACTTGCTCTCCTGTTCTTCCAAACATGTAATCCATGTTTCTCTAAACACAGCTAGGCCAGACAGAGAGAAAGAACCAGATAAGATTTGAGCTAAGAAAGGCACATTTCACCGAGCAGGCCCTCTGGGGTTTGTTGTGCCTCTTCTTGTTGTTGATACTGTTGTTCTAAGTGACGATGGGGGTGGTTAATTGCTGGATTATATTTCATCCCTGCCACTTTTCAGAAAGAACATAAGGTTAGGACAACCCCCAGAGGATCCAGAACCCTCTGGCTCTTGCTCTTGCCCTCAACTTGTTCCCTGGGGGTGGCAGGGAATCCAGATGCTCCCTGGAACATCCCCAGATTTGCTAATTAAAGAGATTATCCCCCTCCTGACACTCTGTGTTCTTCTCCCCTTCTTTCCCAACCCCTGGCCCTGTGCCTCCCTCGAAGACCCTTAATTCCTGGAATCCCGTGTGATGCTGATGCTCCCAGCTCCTGAGCTCTCCTGCCCCGAGGGCAAGAAATCCAGAGTCCTGGGCAGAGCCAGAGCATTGTCTGGTGTCATCAAAAGGAGAGAGCTGCCTGCATTTTGGGGGCCCTTAAGCGGCTCTGAGTGTAGGAAATATGTTCAAATCCTCCAGAACAAAGGTGTCGCCAAGACCCAGGCCCTCAAGGGAGAAACATGCCTCTGGCCTGTTAGTTGGGCCATAGCATGTGAACAAAGGGCCTTGATGAAACTGCAACCCTCCCCGTGTGGAGGTGACAGGAACAGAAGGCTCTAGTCAGTGGAACAGGCAGAACAGCAGGCTCTGCTTCTGTACTCTGCTCTGTGCTCCGTACTCCCTGCTCTGTGCTCTGCTCTATACTATATGCTCAGATCCAGGTAGGATCCTAGTTTTAGTGAGGCCAAAGAAGAGTCTCTGTCCTCTGGGAATTAAGTCTCCCATTGAGAAATAACAACTACCCCGCTTAGAACACTGGGAACCAGAGACAATGGGATAGAGAACATGCCCCCCACCCCTTCCGGCCTGCAGGTAGAGGTTGACTCTGCTTGAGAATAATTGGCAGAGTACATGGGCCACTTAACTGCTAGATAGAAAAGATCCTTTCCTCCTCTGTGTCTATGAGTTCCTGGCTCGCTCTATGTGATCTGACACCCGTTGCATCTTTGACATGCTTGCTGCAATTTTTGAATCACGAACACCAAGTCGTGAGCACAGAGGAAGGTGGCAGCCCACCCGCAGCAGCTGTTGGTGTGACACTGAGGCTATACTGGGTAGATGCTAGTTTGGGGTTGCTATTATTAATATATGGGACTTCATTTTGGCGTCCACAGAACTTTTCATTCTATGCTCTCTATACATGAAAATTGTACTAAGGTCAAAATAAGATATGGGTATTATTATTGGTCTGATAAGATGCTTAACAATTATGACAAATAATCTAAAAATAATGACTTCTGCTGCAGGAAAACCCTGTCTGTGGGGGACTCTGTCTTGATCACCATCTATCTATGTAGGAGGCTACATCATGAGGTCCTCTAAACTTTCCACCAATCAAAGAAGCTATTGACATTTGTTTGGAGTTGACGTCACAGTCTCAGAAACTTTTGAAACATGTCCACATGAATTCTGAATTATGCAAAGATTTGGTAAATTTTTTAAATAAATGTATTTTTTTAGGATATCCCAGAAATAAAGCTACACCAAGACAAAAGAGGAGCCAGAGAGTTTCTTTCAGAAACTTTTTTTCGGTTTCTTTCCTGGGATTGGTTGCCTCAAGCTTAAAGTTTCAGACACCCCATTGAAGCTGCTCCCTCACAAAGCGACTTCTGGAGTAGAACCTAAGGCCTTCACAATGACCCAACCAGGCAGGGTCTCTGTCTTTCCAGGCTCCCCAGTGTAATACAGACAGCAGGTGACAAAGATCTACAGAGACACCCTGCAGCCATTCCTCGTACCTAAGAAACCAGTCCATGACCACGGCTATGCATGCAGGAATAAATACATATTTGCTAAGCACCAAATTAGATCTAATGACCCTGGCCTGTCTCGCAGGGTCATCTTGAGAAATGGCTGATGTCAGGCGCTGAGCGTGAGCAGCTGTTCTCCATTTGCACTCAACAAGAGGAAAGGCCTTAAATTACAGCAGGAGGGATTAAAGTTAAACATTAAAACAGCTTCCTGGCTCAGAGGGTTGTGGAGCAGTGTAATGTGCTACCCAACAAGATTTGAAAGAAGGTGGTTAGTGATCTGCCCAGTCAGTTTTATTAGGAACTTTTTTTTTTATTATTAAATCATCTGGTCCATCCTCTTGAAGACAAGGGGCTTGGACAATACACCCACCTAGCAAGGCCTCTCTGGACACAGAAGAACCTCTGTATCCTTATCATCAAAAGGGCTGTGACTTAGAAGAACTCCCTCACCCTACACAGTGAAAAGAATCTGGAGTCATCATCAAGGTCACCCTTCAGACACCCTTTCAAGTCTTTGCTAACAGTAGTCAATGTTAACACCAGAAAGAGTGCTTTCCAAACCCTCTGGAGATGAGGCAGTGTTGGCACCAAGAAAAATCCCGTACCTCCAGAGACAGAGAAAGAGTTAGATCATAACATTTTATTTCAAGAGGAACAATTTACCCACTTTACAGATGGGAAGACTGAGGCCCAGACATGGGCAATGCCGTCACAGTTACTTTGTACCAGAGCTGGGATTGGGAAGCTTGATTTTGCCACTAACCACCTTTGTGGCCACATGTCAGCTGGCACCTCTGGTCCTCAGTAGCCTCATTGACAAAATGGGAATATTGTAAATATCAAGCTTTACACAGGGGATGCTGTTACCAAGTTTAGAGCACTGAACTTGCCACTGCCTTACTGTTGTTACTCCATATGTGGTCCCTGTTGTTAGGCTATCTGCCTTCAACTTAGAGCTCTAACTTGGATGTGGTTCATGTATATTTTACAGAATTATACAAAAAAATTAAATGTTTGATAATTAAGACCAGGAAAGATATGGAATTAACCTTAGCATCCTCTTATCCAAGTCTGCTCATCTGGCAGATGAGGAGATGGAGGGTGCCCATGGGCACTCAGAGAAAGACAGGAGAGAAACTGCTAGTAACAGAGTGGGGGTGTGAGGATAGGTTTTGATGAACTTTGGATGCATGTGGAGATGGTTGATCCTTGGCCATGGGTGTGATTTTCAACGCTTTGACTTGCAATCCTAGGTGGTTCCTTAGTAATATGTTCTTCTATAGCCCCCAGCTACCTGATTCAAGGGTCAACATCCACAGGGTCCCCCAAAGCCTCTGACCAACTTGATAAACCCAATGATGCCAGAGCAAACAAGAGTGGTTAGTGGTTTCCTTCCCAGCCCTTCCTTCTACAACCCTCCTACCTCGCACAGATTCCAACCCCTCCCCTACACATATACCTTCTGGCTTAGTCCCACCCCTAACTCCCAACCCCTATGCCACCTCCCAGGATCAGTCCCCATCCCATCCTCACCTGGCCTCTAAGATCGGTCCCCACCCAAAGCAAGAATGATTAAAGAACAAACAAGGACGTTTGGTGAGCTCTCTATTCATGAAATTCTATGTAAGCAAATATTACCTGATTTGAATCCCCCACCCCCAAAGTCTTGCAAGATAATCACCATTACCCACCTTTTAAGATAAGGAAACTGAAGGTCAGAAAGATTAACCAAATTGTCCTGGTCACACAAGCTCACATGTGGCAGATCTGGGGATTAAACGACTTCTGAGTTCCAAGGCCAGAGAGTTTCTCGCCACCTGGAGCATCTGGTTTCCACATCAGGTCCTTCCACCTGAAGCCTTGACTCCACGTGCCACTTCTGATGCCACAGTCTTCACTTGTACCTGGGGCCTGAGTCTCCTGGGATTGACAGGGACTCTTTATCCCCACTCAGCCAGGAAGTTCTGTGACAAATAACAGACATCCTTATAGTCATTCGTCTATTTGGACTTTCTAACTTCCAGATTCTCTATTACTGCAAGACCCCTGCCAATGTCCCCTCTCTCTGTTACCCAGGTGACCTCCCTGTCTGTCACACATCCTTCTGGTTATATGATTTGCCTGCAGAAAGAAACTTCTCGCAGGGAGGCTCACCCTCGGGTGCTTTGCTTGCCTGCTGCTTGAAGTTGCTATTGACTTTGCCCCAGTCATGCCCAGACTAAGATTCTGCAACCAGGCCTCCTGGAGACACCCCAGATAGGAGCCCATTAGCACAGCTGTTATGAGAATAGACTTTGGAGTCATACTGACAGCTGGGATCTCTTGGGCAGTTTCCTCATCTGTGTCTCAGGTTCGCCCATCTGTGAAACAGAATGAGTACTGCCTCACAGGGTTATTATGAACATAAAATGAGTAAATGGTTGCAAGTGATTAGAACAGAGGCTGGCATGACTATATCATTACGTGGCTAGTGCAACATGCATGTTATTAAATGAAAGTAAATGCCTATACCCTCAAGTTTTAAAATCATAGACCATTAATTCAGTCCCAGACTTGGGGAAGCTCAAGGTTGGAGGGAGCTACCTCCTTCTCCACACAAGAGGACTTACAACTATCATTCCCAAGAGTGAGCAACTGAGATACCCATAGGGACGGAGAGTTCACTACCTTCTAGCAGACTATCTGGTGCTAAAACTTTAACTTGATTTGGGTTTGGTTTGATTCGACTCAGAGTTAAAAGCAGCCTGCTTGGGGCTTCCACCTACGGGCCTGAGACCCATGACTGCTCCTTCCACTTGGCAGCCCAGCTCCCATTCCATCTCACCCCTGCGGGCACTCTCAGGTATGCACCATGATTTACTGAAGCTTTCCTTGCTGGAGGTAATGCAAAACAGCCTGGTGCTGCTTCCCACACCTTTCCTCCCCAAAGCCCCCAGGCTGGCATAGCAGCATGCAGTATATGTAGACAGTTTACAGGGCCCAGGCGGAGATCGATGCAGGACCAAGTGATGGTGCCCAGGGGCAGAGTAGAAAGCGTGGGCACTGAGAAAAGCCTCCAGGCACATGTCTTTCCAACGATGAGACAGGGAGAGACTTTTTCAGAATCTGTCTTAACACAGGCAGGAGAGACAGGTGGGAGGCAGCTGGGAGGCACCAGAAAGCCTCTTGCCCTTTTGAAGGTCTGTGCTTTGGGTTAAGCACTGCCCTGTCCCCTATTCCTTTAGTCAATGCAAAAATTGATGGGAGGGGGCCTCCTTGGTGTTGCAAGGGTTAAGATGCAACCTATGAAGCTATCTGCAGCCACTGCAGCGTGAGTTGGATCTCCCCCCACCCACACCCACCCCCCGCTAGCCAGGGAACAACCCACATGGTGCAGCAGACCTCTCCTGTCTCACCGGCTGCTCCCCTCAGCAGTGTACTTCAGTCAGTCTGGCCTGTTCTGTTCACCACTCTGAATCTGGTGAATCCTCTCACCCCCACACCTCCCACACCTCTGGTATATACCCCAGCTCTTTAATGCATAAATAAATAAATCTTAAAAAAAAAAATTGGGCCTCCCTGATGGCGCAGGCAGTTGAGCACCGCACTGTGAAGCTGTCCGCAGTCTCTGCAGCACCGGTTCGATCCCAGCCGACCAGTGAGAATCCCACATGGCGAAGCAGACCTCTCCTGTCCCACCCGCTGCTCCCCTCAGCAGTGTATTTCAGTCAGTCTGCCTGTTCTGTTCCCCGCTCTGTCTCCAGTGAATCCTCTCATCCTCCCTCGAATCTAAACTGTACCTGTTCTTGTATAAAAATAAATAAATCTTAAAAAAAAAATAGATGGGAGGCAGAATAGGTAAAGCCTGTGTACTTTAGGCTGAGTGAAACAATGTTTTCGGAGGGTAAGTGACAGGGTCTGCTTTGTGGGGAGAAGGAAGGTCCTGGAAAATAAAAGAAAGGGCAAAGACCCTCTACGTCTCACTTGCTTGGATGGTTGAATAAAGGTACTGCTCTTAACCATTGATCTAAATGAATATATTCATCTCTACAACAGCACAATGAGGTAGATACAAATAAGGAAATGAGGGCACAGAGAAGCCACACAGCATGTCTACAGTCAGACAACTAGGAGCAAGCAGAGTTAGAAACATAACTTATGTCTGGCTTTGTGTTAAGTCCTTCCTACAGTGTTGAATGACCAGACCTCACTGCCTCCACAGTATTAGCCACATGGAGAGCCCCACATCAGGCAGGGAAGCTTCCCTTTCTCGCTCTCTCTCTCTCTCTCTCTCTCTCTGACATACACACACACACACACACACACACACACACACACACACGCAATGCACATGTGCATGCACACCCATAGACTCACAGAGCCTACCCAACCAACACCCAAGGACCGAGAGCTGGCCTCAGCACTTGGGAGAGCAGCCTCTCAACAGAGTCCGGGCATCAGGACTATGGAGCCAGACCACCTGTCCAACCCTGGCTCGGCTTCTGAGAGCTTGTGACCTCTCTCAGCCACAGCTTCCTCATCTAAAATGACGCTTACAGTGCCTGCCTCACTGAATTTGGGCAATGATGAAATGAGTTACTACATGTAAGGCACTGAGGACAGTGAGTAGCTGTGTGTCACATATATCCAAGCCAGCAGAGAGCTGATAGGCCATGAGAAGAATCCCCTCCAGCTCCATTCACGTCATCACAAATGGTAGGGTTTTATCTTTTTGACAGCTGCATAGTATGTTATCA